GTTAATGACAAAGTTCAATTTAGGCAATATCATTAATTTATGAAGTATTTATAGATTCTGTTTTGAAGTATTAGGTGTTTACAATATTTAATATCTACATGTTTTAGTTTGAAGTATTGGGCCCTTACATGTCATATTTTGAAGTATTTATCACATTTATAAGTACTAGTTTGAAATAGAGAATTTATTAATGCATCCTATGTGTTTTTTAGGCACCAACGTGAAATTCCAAAAATGTTCATAGGAATCGAAAATGTATCTCCGTTGCACACTCTATCAAATGAAAAAAACATACATATCGGAAGTATACTTACGATTCCCAAACCAACGTTGTATTTCCGATTATACTCTAAATAAAATTAAGAAAAAAACTATGAGAAGCCACACCTACCACTTTGATACAAACCGGAAATGCAATACTGGTTCCAAACCGTATGTATATTTCCGATTTGTATTTTGACATATACCCGCGCTACCTCTTCTCCTTCCTCATTTGCTTCAAACAGAAACAAAACCAAAAATTTCCCAAAACCCCATTGTTCCAAAATACTTCAAAATCCATCAATTTATTGCAACACATAAGCAATACATCAGGCATAATTGGAATCAACCAAGGAGAATAAATCATTGTAAGTTATTTTTGAGCATTATTGAGTTTTTTTATTTTACATACAAATTGTGTTTTAGGATAGTAAAATATAGTTTTTTTAGTTCATGCAATGTTTGAAGTCAATACAGAAGTGTTAGCCATGTCTTTTTGACGATCAATGCATGTTTAATACTTTATTCGTTTATTCTACACGTATTATGGCTGAGAGACAATCCAGATTGCGACACAGGAGACTTTCACAACATGCTTCTGTGCGTAGGGAGAGGACTCAGTCTTTTCAGACTCCTAGGCCGGTTGTGCCAGATACTTTCACTCTGCCGACCAGTAGGAAAGGGTCTCCCGTCCATGCATCTCCGCCTCCGTCCTCTCGCAGACACATATCCTTACTGCAAATATCCGGACTAGGAGAGACATCTGGATCCCACTCACAGACTACACCACATTCAGCTCATACCTCTCTACCTCCTATGGTCTTTGAGACATGAGAGTCTTCTTTATCCCAACCGACACCTGCTCTCACCCAACCTTCATAGGTTTCCCACCCAGCAGACACCAGAGGCCACTCCCACCCAATAGACACCAGAGGCCACTCCCACCCAATAGACACCAGAAGCCACCTAGTCTGCACCGGCGGCCCATCCCGAGGCAGCACCAGAGGCCACTCCAGAGGCCCATCTAGAGGCAGCACTGACGGCCCATCCACAAGTAAAACCATAGACGCCTCAGGCCTTTGGAGGGGGACCTTCTGGTTTGTCATTATTGTCGTTGTATCCGGACCATGTTGCCAGACACTTATGGGACGAAGAGGTAAATGTTTCATTTAATAATTATTACGTATTATGTTACCTTCTTTTTTCTAAGTATTATGTTCATTTAATTATTGGGTGTTTATCTATGCATGCAGGACCGCGACCCACTCAAGATAATTAACCATACTAGGAAGATCAGTCGTCTGGTACCACCCACCGAGCCATGGTTTCGAGAGCTATTGCACATCACCGGGCTGCATGATTTGGTCTTATATGGATATACTACCGTTAATCATGATATGATTAACACTTTTGTTGAGAGATGACATCACGAGACATCGTCATTCCACCTACCACATGGTGAGATAACAATCACATTGGACGATGTCGCGAGTCTGTTGCATATTCCGATTAGAGGGAGTTTTTTAGATCATGAGAGGTGCACTAAAGAAGAGGTACTAGATATGTTGGTGGAGTACTTAGGAGTTACTCCAGAGGGTGCTCTGGCTGAGATCAACAAAACCCGTGGGTGTCATGTCCGATTTAGCTACTTGCAGAAGGTGTTCACAACTAAGCTAGGGCGTGCACGACATGCTGTTGGTGACGATCTGCAGGTAGCCCAACACAGAGCACGTGCTATGAGGGTATATTTTTTGTATATGGTTGGCACACAGATTTTTATGTACGCTAGTGTCACTTACACTGATATCATGTACATGCGGTTCTTTAACGATTTTGAGCGGATCACTGAGTGGAACTGGGGGGCAGCTTGTTTGGTGTATTTGTACCATAAGTTGTCTGAAGGTGCTAAGTGGAATACAAAGCAGATGCCCGACGACATCACATTTTTTACGGTAACATTTCTTATTCTTATGTTATTTATGTAAATTACTATGATGTCGTTACTTACTAATGGCGGTAACATTTCAGGCCTGAATTCTACAACACTTCTCTCACATATCCGAATGGTCACTTGAGCCTACATATACTGAGGTTCTTCCATGTGTCGCTTCATTCGATTCACTCCGAGGGAACCAGGCGACAGAGCCATTCATGGTGTATATAGATCGCATGGCCTACGAGGATATATGCTTCCACGCATACAAGACTCACCGTGAGACAGTTCCCTTTGACGATATTGTGTTGTTCACTGGGTGGTTGGCATGCGGGACGCGCAAGACGGCTGCTTATTTTCCTGAGCGCGTGATGCAGAAATTCAGATACATGCAACACATTCCCAGACCACCCTCTGAGTGTGCCCCTCCCATGGTGAAACAGAGGGATATAGATGAGATATTTGATGATTATCTTAACCATCTCGTACCAGATGAGGTCTGGAGTACCATAGCAGCAAATGATTGGAGCTTTGAGGATGGGTATATCTTATGGTTCTTTAGGGTGTCACATCCATATCTGGTACATGAGGCTCCAGGTAACCCACCTAGACCAGCACATACGAATATTCTAGAGGAGGAGCAGGCACAAACCGATCATGCCACTGATGTGTTGCCTAGGTGTCGTCGTATCATGCAGATCACACAGACGGATATTTATAGGGGTTTGTTTCCTGATGGCTCTGATGTTAGAGGTGTTATAGATGCTATCATGGAGGAGGATGGGGAGACTTTGTGTTACAGACGACAACGGAGGAATGTGGGAAATATCACGGGCCGACTCATTATCCGTCATACTCAGTAGTCTGATAGTTTTAGTTGCATTTTGTTTATAGTATTATTTTGTTTTTCATATTTTGGATTATTTGGATAACACTTTGACAAATATTTTGTGTATCGTATTTTGGAACATAATATTTATGAATATTTATACGTATTTTGTGATTACTTCGTATTTAATCGACATCATATTTTACTATGTATTTTACTATGCGTTTATGCACCAAAACCTGCATAAAAACATGATTTGAACTGTTTGTACAAAAACCAGAAATACATATTTAATTCTAAACCGTAGTTACATTTTCGATTTCATACTTAATTTTTCAAAAAAAAAAAATACATCTCTGAAATATATTTTCAAAAAACATTTTTAATTTTACATAAAATATTTTTTTTCTATAAGAAATTCTCTTTGAAGTATCACCTAAACAACACCGTGTTCATTTTTCACCATCATTCAACATGATCATTTGACAACATAATTATAATTTTGTAGCAGCACATTTATTCAATATCATTTGACAACATAATTGACATTTTTCTCATTACATAGAAATAATAATCAACATGTGTTACAACACAATCAACATAATTTTCATTGATTAATCAATTGATGTTACAATATAAATAACAAGATTTTCATTGATAATCAACAAGTTTTACAAGAACTTCTAAACCTAAACAATAACACTAAACAACAAAATAGACTTCAAAATCTAAACAAAGTCTATTTACCTTTTTCATTAATGTTGATGCAACTATTGCAAACAACATAATGAATGTCATGTTTCAAGGCAACATGCATTTGACATCTTCAACAACTCTGCCTATGTTAGCTTCATTCTTTTACCCGCGAATTCATTTTTTTGGTCAAATCAATCAAAGTGTTATCATTTCCCCTTCTATATTACTTCGACTATATTACTTCTTGTTTTTAAAATTACTTTTAAAATATCAATTAAAGTTAAAATAGGCTAAGAAAATTTCAAGATAGGTATAAAAGATAAAAAAAGTCAAATAATTAATATCATATTTCAAATAAAATGAGAGGAAAAAAAACATTTAAACCATAACTTTTATATGTTGGATAAACATTAACTTCTTTATATAGTTATATTTGAAATTTCTATATTAGAACCTTTTACATTAAAAAATTTGAATATTAAAATTATAAATTTGAATTTATAAAAGTTTAGAAACTTTTGAAGTTTTTTTTAATTATATTTTAGAAATAATTTATTTCCAAAAAAATTAATATATTTTTAGATGTATATAAATATCTTATTTTCCAAAAAAAAAAAATTTTAATTTATATTTTAAAGATACAAATTAATAAATTTAAAATATCAAAAATTTAAAATCCTATATCAAAAATATGTATTTTTAAAAAGAGTTTAATTGATATACAACGATCACCCAATAGAAAACAAATAATATATTATATTATTTAATTCTTTTTAAATAAAAGTTATTTTATTTAAATATATAATTGTGATTGGTTGACAATGTAAAACTATTTTACGTTGTCAATGTATTAATTTTTTTTATTTTAAAAATAAGAAAATAGATAATACATTATCAGTGTAAAAAAGAATCAATCACGATTATAAATCAAGACAAGTCTGATTATATATATATATATATATATATATAATATATAATACGGCAAAATAGTTTATTTTTATTAAATAATAATATAAAACTTTTTTACACCATAAGTCCATCTTTCTTTAAGCTCTTAAAAAATTGTTACAGAATTTACAAACCAAATAAAATTTGTTAACTTGTGTTCTTACAACACAAATTAATATTTAACTTACACAAACTAGTAATTAACATTAATAGATTAATATATAATATTTTTTAATAATTAATAGGTTGGTTGAGTAACTTTACCAGCAACAAGCAATAGATCGTAGAATCAAAGAACAAGAAGAAAAATTTTCAAGATTTTCAGACTGTATCATGTGGGAATCGATTCTGTTAACGGTGGCTGCTACCGCCGGCAACAACATCGGAAAAATCCTTCAAAAGAAGGGTACCATCATTCTCCCCCCTCTCTCCTTCAAGTTCAAGGTAAAAATCTTTCTTTTTTGAATTTTCATGATTCGGTTTTCATCAAAGATCTCATCTTTTTTTATAACAATATGGTTTGAACCATATGGGTCTGTCTGAAATTGGTCATTATTGTGGATTTTCCCAATTGAAGATTTTGTTGTGCATGTACAGAAAGTGAATTGAATTGGATCAGAAAAGGTTTTGTTTGTGGCTATGAATTTACTGTTTTATTGGTATGTCATTGTGTTTTGCAGGTTATTAGGGCTTATGCTTTGAACAAAACATGGTTGATAGGTTTTCTGATGGATATTTTTGGGGCATTTTTGATGTTAAGGGCATTATCTCTTGCTCCAGTAAGTGCTATGAAAAAAATATCAATTTTAAGGGATTTTTGTTATACCCTTTAGCAAAATTAGTTTACTCTTAATGTCTTATAGTGTTTTGCTTAGGTTTTTGTTTTGACATTCATGATCTTGGTGGGTTTTATTTATTTTATCAAGTATAGGTCTCTGTGATTCAACCAGTTTCTGGCTGTGGACTAGCAATTCTGTCGGTCTTTTCTCATTTTTATCTCAAGGAAGTCATGAATGTTGTTGATTGGGTTGGAATTATCTTGGCTGGTTTTGGCACAATAGGTAATGTAAGTTTTAAATTATGAGTGAATTGTGTTTAATTGGGATTTCTTTGAACATGAGAAAACCAGGTTTGTGCTGTAGTGTTATTGTATTGAGATATATGATTTTGTATTCGTGTGACACGTTGATGCTATTGGTTAACTATTATATGTTTGTCTATATTTAGGAGTTGGTGCTGGTGGCGAAGAGCAGCAAGAGGCGGTTGCTCTATCCATTTTTCACATACCATGGCTGACGTTTGTTGTTTTCATCTTGTTTGTAGGTACCTTGTCTCATGAATCAACTAAATTTAGTGTCACGTGCTTCTATGGTCATAGATATTCAGCATTCATAAGTGTCGTGGCACTCCCTTGATTTTACGATAATAATAAGAATTACGTGAGAAAATGCTTAACGTCCTTATCAAAGAAGAAATAGTTATATTCTTTTACTTAGTCTCATGAATCAACTAAATGCATTTTTTTTTTGTCATTTCATTAACCCAGTAGTATTATATGAGTATTGGATTTAGCAAATTCTCTTTAGAAAATTATGATTTCGTCAATAACATAGTGATAACACCATCACCCAGGCATTGTTATTATTTTAATTGTTAGAAACACTTGCACAGATGCTGCTTAATGGATGGCTTCGAATATACAAGCGCCAGCGAAGAGAACAAGAGATGGTAATTCATGTTTTAAGCTTGCTGAAATACCTTTGAATTTACATGTTTGTTTAATTTAGCGAGCTATTTTTTTTGTTCTTTGCTTCTTTTATCGGTTGACATATTTATGTTTTACAGATGGAATATGATGTTGTGGAGGAAATCATTTATGGCTTGGAATCTGGTATTTTGTTTGGGTACTTGTGCTTACCTCTCTACTCTCTATTTCTGTATTCTGTTATTTTTCTGATACATGTCATTTTTGGAGATGCGTCAATTCCGTAATCTAGACTGAAATTCTAACAATAATTTAGACTTTAGAGATTGTTCAAGTTATGCGGTATCACTGTTTGGCAATGAACAAAACTTGATTATGTCTCGAGTTAATTTTAAAGCTTTCTATGCAGGATGTCATCTGTAATTTCAAAGATGGGATTTCTATTCCTAGAGCAAGGTTTTCCCAAAGTGCTGGTTCCTATATGCCTCCTGATCAGTGTGTTTTGTAGTGGTATAGGCTTTTACTACCAGGTATTCTGAGTTCACTTTTACATGATCTAGTTTTGTGAGAACTGTTGCACCTTTCAAACCTTGAGGATATTTTACCCGTTTCATTCGAAGTCTCTAGACACTTATCAAGTTCTACATCACCATTTTCAGAATTCAGATAAACTTCCTTAATAAAATAATCTTTATCTTCTCCATTATCGCAGACACGTGGCCTAAAGCATGGGAGGGCTATTATAGTTTCTACATGTGCAGCTGTGGCATCGATTTTGACTGGTGTACTTGCTGGGATGCTTGCTTTGGGTGAACGACTTCCTTCCGCCCCAAAAGCCCGTGTAGCACTTCTTCTTGGATGGTAATTTAAGATGTTATGCTTTTCCCTCGATTTAGAAAGGAAAAGACGATGATACAACCATGGTTATTATTCTGCAGGCTACTTATAATTACGGGCGTGATTTTGCTCGTTGGTTCAACACGGCTTGTGAGATTCCTCACTTCTTCACAGCGAAAAAGAAGCAATGTTGAGAAGAATTTTGGCCCTAGAAGATCCACTTCTTCCCGTACAAGGGAGCCAAGTCCTACAAGCGCTGTCATTCAAGCGGCAACATTAAATCATCTGCTATCGTCTTCCAAAGAAAAACCTTGACTTGACATGAGCTGGAGAATGCTCCTTAATCTCCTTCACAAGCTGCTATGGCCATGGTGTATGATGTATATGTACGCGGCTGCTTCATCAGAGGGCGAGACATTTTTCGGGCTCACAGTCTGGATGAAGTATCTGTTAACTTTCTGACTCTATTTTGTAAAAACTATTCCTGAACTTTCACTTTGTTGGCTGTTGGGGATTGTATATTACAGTAGTGGTGCCATAATTTCCTGTTTACTTGTCCAGTAATGATCTTTGCATCCTCTAGTGTGTGCTTCACAATCCATTTTGAAACTAAAGATTCTATTAGGGAGTAGATAACATTATCTTATAACTTCTCCCATTAAAATTTCCCTTCAAATCTTCCTCTACAATTAATTCACCTATTAATTAATTCAAAATTTAAATCATACTATTAATAATAGTAAAAATAAACTCTTTTTAAAAAAAGAAAAATCCAAATTCTAAAATCCATTTCACCCACGTTTCCAAAAGTCTATTTTCCAATTTATTTATGAAAAATAATAGAATAATAATAATAAGAGCATCAATTTTCATCCTTTATACCTGATCTTACTTTTTGGTATTGTTTTTGTGGACTAATTATGAAGAAAATTGTTCTCATAGCTAAAAATGGTTTCATGTAAAAAAAAATAGAGTCATTTATTTAATTACAATATCAACCCCTAAAAACACGCATCTCATTATGCTATTGGTCTTTAATTTTAATTTTATTTTTTCTTATAACAAACAAAAGTAACATACAATTAATGTTTTCTAACATAAGTCTTGATGTATTCCACAAAGCTTTTTTTTCCTTTTACTATTTTTACATTATGTAAATTTCATTAATATTTTTGTTTTTTTTTTTATATAACAAAACACCAAATATAAAATATCATGTATAGAATTTAAATTATTTTAAATTACTTCTCTAAACTATAATACTTATAAATAATAATGATTCAACAAATTTATTCGTGCATAGCAAGGGTAAACATATAGTTATATTATTAATTCAAGAGTGTTTAAGTTTAAAATATATAGGAGGAGACACTGGACAAGTTGATCATAGGGTAATTAGATGGGAAAATGGTTGGTATTAGGGAGGTGCGGGCCTCCGAAATTTTGATGTACTATTCTATAATTCAAATGAGTTTTTTCTATTTTCTTTTATAATATCAGTTAGTTTCTATCAACTAGTGTCTGAGCATTTTTATCCAAGAAGTTCTATTTTCTTTTATGTATCAGTTGATTTCTATTCAATCATACGACTTCGAATTATGGAATCTGAGAGGATAATTTTTTGCTACAATATTTTTTCATCTTGAGGATAAATTGAATCTTTAGAAAAGAATATTGTTAGACTTTTCAGTTTTGTAACCGTTAATAAGTTATTAGGATAGTGAATAATTATTAGAATTATTATATTTTTAATTCAATAGTGTTTAGATTTAAAATAAATAGGGGAGACATTATGGGGAGCTGATCACCAGATAACTGGACGAGAAGTGGGCTATTTTGGTATTGATGAGGTGCAGTCCCTAAAGTTTTGTTCTGCTATTATATAATTCAAAGAAATTTTTTCTATTTTCATTTATTAGTTGATTTCTATCAGAATCCTTCATTTTTAAATGAGGATTTTAACTCAAAAATCATCTATGAAAAGGGAGAGTAGGAATTAGCTATCTTTAAGATTCGGTGTCTTTCATACCTTTCTCTCATAACCATGATTCTCTCTCTTATCCATCCATCTTTAAAAATACACTAAAGTTATGAAAGTTACCATGTAGTAAAGGTACCAAATTCATTTCCGAAAAGGGATGATTCTTTCATAAACTATGTTTTTTTTTTTTAAATTGTAGTTGTCAAATTTGGGCTGAAATTTTATATAGAAAATATATGAAATGTCAAAATTATGATAAATTAACATGTTATCCTCTATTTTATACATGTCATTTTTTAGATATGATATATTTATCAAATTATTTTTGAAATACATCGAAATTTTTGAAATTTTTGGTTTCGTATCGAAAATTTCGTTAAATTTCTAAGTTTTTACTGTGCAATTTGATTGTAACCGAAAATTTGAAATGATCGGTACCGGAAATTTTAAATTTTCAGTGTTTTTCCTCTTTATAAGAATATATCAGAAATTTTAAATTTCTGGTGTGTGAAAAATATCAGAAATTTCAAATTTTTAGTGTATTTCTTCATTATAAAACAAATCAGAAATTTGATTTAGGACCGCAAAGATATAAAACTTCATCGGCAGACATATCAGAAATTTCAAGTATAATTGAAATTTTTGTTACGCCGAAAATTTGAAATTTTCGTTAAAGATTTTCTACCAGAAATTTGCTAAATTTCCTGTACGTGTAGAGACTTTTGTAAAATTTTATGGAAATTTTAAAATTTTCGGTAAATTGCAATCGGAAATTTTGAAATTTTCGATATATTGCTACCGGAAATTTGTAGAATATAAAGAATTTTTGGTATACGACAAAAATCAATATCGGAAATTTGTTAAAAGTACCAAAAATTTCGAAATTTATCTCTTTGATTAATAATTTTTTTTTTTTGATAAAGAAAAATATTTAGAATAAATAGTAAAAAAGATATTTTAGGAATACTGAAATTTGGAGATGACATGTATAATATGGAGGATGATATGTTAATTTCTCCAAAATTATATAAGGAGGGAATGAAAAGAAGAATTTTCAAAAATTCTCCTTTCACACCACACAGTACAACAACTCAAGTTTGCAAGAAAATACATTCAATAGTCAAATAGGTGTGTTTGGAAATTATTCTTCGAAAATCTCATATACTTAGAATTTGACTTAGCTTCACCTTATAAAACGAGTTGTAAAAGTGAGGAGCGTCACTCTATATAAACTCTTTCAATGTTCTATCTCCAACCAATGTGGAACTTTAGGATTCACGCCCAGCACTCTTTTTCTTTTTGGGCTTGGTGCGTAGATATTAATGGTGGACGCCCATGGTCTGATCGATAGGCTCTGATACCAACTTAGAATTTGACTTAGCTTCACCTTATAAAACCGGTTGTAAAGGTGAGGAGCGTCACTCTATATAAACTCTTTCAATACTCTATCTCCAACCAATGTGAGACTTTAGGATCTTCCTAACACATATGAACATCAATATCTAGATGCACTGTTTAAAATAAAACGAATTGTGTTTCCTTCTCCATTCAATGACATTTGAAATGAAAATAGCAAAGAGATAATTCAATTTTATGGACTCTGAGGAGTCAAATGTACGGTCTCACTCCTATTTTTATAATAGAGAGGGTGTTTTCAGCAAAGAGCACATAAATTCAAGAACACTATTTATTTGAGAATTAGCCATTATCTCTCAATTTTTATTCTTTTCGTCTAAATTAAGTTCTTTAATCAATTCTGGACTATCATTTTTCACATTTGAAGATTATTCGGTAAGTTTTAGATTCTCATATTGCTTTTAGTGATTATGATGCATGCAATTTTTTTTTGTTTTTAATTAATTACATTATATTCCATATTATGCCAATGCTGTATACATTTTCGTCTTAGTTTATTTTTGTTTTAGTTTGGTAAATTTAAAGGTTAAGGTTTATGCATGGTATGAACTCTGATGTGAGATACATGTATATCAAAGTCCGAATACTCTATACAAATATTAATCTCTGGACATTATTTATCTTTAATTCAGTTATGTTTTATTATATGAAAAAAAAATTATTTTCCATGTGCTTCAAAATCATTTTGTTTAAGTTCTGTTTAAGTTGTTTGTTCAATTTTAAAGTGTACTCAAACTGTGGGATATACTCTATTTTTATGCATGTATTTTACTGGTTTAGCTATCTAAACTATGCTTTATATCTTATACACAAACAAATTTTTTTGATAAAAGCCTTTGATAGATTATTATCGGCTATCAAGCCTTAGTTTGATGCTAGTTTGGTAGCACAACAACTTATGAGTGTTTTAATTTGATATTTATGAGTGTTTTAATTTGATAGGTATAGTTATGTTGATTAATTTGTTACGTGTGATTATAGAAAAATGGTCGACGAATAAATAAGGTATATTTATGATCGGTTATATCAACATGTTTTAGTGCGTAGAGAAAAAAGCTAAATCTTTCTGTGTAGTTGGACAATCATTTGATACTGTTGAGGGATCGTCGTTTGTAGTCATGGATCTCTTACTCTTGATGATGCACTTGTTGCTGTCGTACATGCTATTGATGATATCGCGCATGCTTCTGCTACAAATTATCTTGTCAGACTTTCAACTACAACACCTCAGGGTTTTTTTAGAGATTTAAATGACATGTCAGTACTATCTCGATATGCAAACCATGTCGATGCTTAAGTGTGTAAAGGAGAGGTAGAACAAATATTTAGTTATGCTAATAAGCATATGTTTTGATGATTATAATAATTGAGTCGCTTGACATTGATCTATTTATTTTTATAGCGAGGCACTAAAGTGTATAAAAATATATTAAAGTTTCTGCAACTAGATGAACCATGATTTATGAAAGTATTAGAATCATTTGGGACGAAGGAGTTTTGTTGGCTATGATATGGTTACATTGACCATAGTATTTTGTCAGCCTTTGTTGATAAATGATAGTCACAAATGTCATTATTTCATCTTCTTATTGGTGAGATGAATATTACTCTGGATGATGTATCATCTATCTTTCGATCGCAAGAAGATTGTTGGATCACTCTTCAATTCAGATATTCAAGGCACTAGACTTAAAAATAACATATTTAGGAATGATACCCAAAAGGAAATTGTACATACAAAAGGAGCACGTGCCAAAATTTTCTTTTTAAACGAAAATTACGTCAACCACATGAGTATCTGGTTGAATTTCACTCTCTAGACTATGTCATTTATTATCATCCTATTATAGATTCGTGCTTTTTTAAAGGGTGTATTTAAAAGTTGATGTCAAATTGAGATATCTAGAGAACAATATCT